CAGGTGCCCGCCACAATGCCTGGCTATTTTTTTGTTGTAGTTGTCATTGTTGTTTGGCAGGCCCAAGCTAGGTTCAAACCTGCCAGCCTCATTGTATGTGACTGGCACTACCTGTTTAATAGATAATTTTAAAACTTTAAGTAGTTAACACTAGCATGAATGGTATATAAGCAAATCTTTTGTGTTGGAAACACTAAAATATCTTAGATATTATTCTTACATTGTGATCAAATATATTTATTTATTTATTTATTTATTTTTTAGAGATAGAGTCTCAACTTTGTCGCCCTTGATAGAGCGCCATGGCGTCACACAGCTCACAGCAACCTCCAGTTTTTGGGCTTAACTGATTCTCTTGCCTCAACCTCCCAGTAGCTGGGACTACAGGCGCCCACCACAGTGTACAGCTATTTTTTTGTTGTTGGCAGTTTGGTCACGGATGGGTTTGAACCCACCACCCTTAATATATGGGGCTGGCACCCTACTCACTGAGCCACAGGCACCACCTGTGATCAAATTTATTTTTAGTAGAAAGTTTTTTAAAAGCAGTTATTTTTAATTACCCAAAATACATGTACAGTTGTCTTGTATTTGCAAGTCTGATTTGGCTTAAATTCTAAATTCCCCTTGTAGAATTAATTTGTTCCAGAAAAGGAAAATGTATGTGGACATAGTTTTAGTAGTATACAAGTTATGTTTGAGCACTGACTAGTCATTGTGGTTTTTTTGACTATAGGTTTTGGTAATCGCTGTGGAAAACCCAAAGGACCAAGAGATCCACCTGCAGAATGGACATGATTCAGGGAGCTAAAAGACATTTTAAATTATACTGGAAAATTCATGTGCCACTGAAAGCCAGGTTTATAGTATTTCATCTTTAAAATGTGGGACTAACAGCAGTGTAGATTGTTACCTTAATATTTCTTGCCGGGACCATCTACCTGCCTTATACTACACTTATGAAAAAGTATTACATACGGTTTATTTTGTAACTTCAAGTATTATTGCCTTAATGTCTCTTAACCCTGTTACACGCTGCTTGTAGACATGTTAATATAGTAATACTTTTATGATAAATGGAGTTTAAGGACTACTCTTCTGCTGTTTTATCATGTATGCATTATTTTGTATATGTACAGGGCAAGTAGGTATATAATTTGATAAAGTTGCAATCATATAAAATATTATTAACAGAAGATGTAAGAAATTTCTGCATGGTCTAAATTTGTGTGTACCTTATTTGTAAATTATTTGCCCTGAAATTTTAGAAAATAGTTTCTGAATTTTAAAATTGCTGGATTCATGCAGCCAGCATTGCAGGTTATCAGAGATCAAAGATTGTAATAATAATACATTTTGTAAATTGTAAGCAAAAAGTTATTTTTATATTATATGCTGTCTAATTGTTCATCCCAATTTTTCTTGTTTTCATCTGGTCATGGAGATTCAGTAAGTGCCTTGGAACAATATTGAATTCTCTTAGCTTGTGTGTGTTACTTTAATATTTGAACTCAACTGGGATTAGAAGACTATCAGAATATATGTATGTTTCAGAATATTTGACCTGTCATTAAAAAAAAGCAATTTTATAGTGTCTTATTTGTTGCCTTGGTTTTTCATTCCTGGACTCAGTCTTAATTTTTTTGTTTTTGTTTTTGTTTTTTTTTTTTTTTTGGTCACACTGGGTAGAGTGCCATGATATCATAGCTCATGGCAACCTCAAACTCTTGGACTCAAGAGGAAGGAAGCTGTCTTCCTTCCTCAGCCTCCCTACTAGCTGGGACTACAGGCAACCACCCAAATACCTGGCTAGCTTTTTTTTTTTCTATTTTTAGTAGAGAAAGGTGGGTCTTGTTCTTGCTCAGGCTGGTCTCAAACTCCTGAGCTCAAGGGACCTTGTATTTAAGATCTTCAAGTCATGACTGTGAAAGGAATTTAATCTCTTAAAGAATAGGGAGCACCTTCTGAAAAAACAAAAACAGATAAAAAATGCTTCTATCAATTCTAAGTAATTAGCCCTGAGGCAGCCCGAGGCATGCTTCTCATCACTGTTAGCCTGCCAAAGTCCTAGTAGAACACAAACAGAGGCGAGGCTGGCAAACAGGAGAGAGAACGGGTTCCTTCCCATCCTGTGACTGGAGAGCACAGGTTCTATCAATAAATACTAAGCTTTGACACCATGTATTGGAATTGATAGATAGCTATATATGTGTTCCCTCTCCATACAAAATGCTGAAGAATTAGGTAACTAAAATAACATGGAATAACCTTATTTAAGTAGAAGGGGGATTAGTATGGAGGAGAAGATAATACTATAACTTCATGTTAAAAATTTTTTAAATCTGAGGCCAGCCTGAGCTAGAACAAGACCCCCAGTCTCTAAAAATAGCCAGGTGTTGTGGTGGGTCCCTGTAATCTCAGCTACTCTGGAGGCTGAAGCAAGAGAATTGCTTGAGCCCAAGAGTTAAGAGGTTGCTGTGAGCTATGACATCAGAGCACTATACCAGGGGTGACAAAGTAAAACTGTCTCAAAAAATAAAATAGAAAAACTAGCTAAGCATTGTCATGGGTGCCTGTAATTCCAGCTACTTGGGAGACTGAGGCAAGAAGATCTCTTGAGCTCAAGAGTAGCCTGGGCAACAGTGAGACTGTCTCAAAAAAAAAAAAAAAAAAAAAAAAGAGAGACCTGGCATCTGTAGTTCAGCGGCTAGGGTGCCAGCCACATACACCAGGGCTGGTGGGTTCAAATCCAGCCTGGGCCTGCCAAACAACAATGATAACTACAACCAAAAAATAATAGCAGGGTGTTGTGGTGGGTACCTGTAGTCCCAGCTACTTGTGAGACTGAGGCAAGAGAATCACTTAAGCCCAAAAAGTTTGAGGTTGCTGTGAGCTATGACGCCACGGCACTCTACCTAGGGTGACACAGTGAGACTGTCCCCCCCCCCAAAAAAAAGAATCTTTAGGCTCAGCACCTATAGCTCAGCAGCCTAAGGTCCCAGCCTCATACACTAGGGCTGTCAAACAACAATGGCAACTATAACAAAAAAATAGAAAAATAGCCAGGTGTTGTTGCATCCTCATTTATAAGTGAAATATGTTTGTAATTTCCCCTTTATAATAATATATTTTCTCCAATTTTAATATCAGGTGTATCCAGATTAAGTAGAATGATTTTGAAGTATTCTTTTTTTAATTTCTATAAGATTGGCATGATCTGTTTTTTGAAACTATCTTTTACATCAGTTTGTGAATGTTGGTTGTCTATTTTTTGAGACTTTGGAAAAAAAAATAAAAAGTTAACTGATGACTCCATATTGAACCTCAGAGTCAGAGCATTGTATAGTAGACAGAATGTCATTGTTTGACAATGTGACTGTTACTTTCTTTGCATCATCATTATTATTACTCCTTAATATTTCGATGCAGCAATCATCTGATTTCTGAAGGTATTTATCTTCATTCATTCTTTATGAGGTTTTTGTTTCTAGTCTTTTTTTTTTTTTTTCCTTTTGCATTTTTTGGTGGGAGCAGGTTTGAACCCACCACCTCCAGTATATGGGGCCGGCACCCTACTCCTTTGAGCCACATGTGCCACCCTCTAGTCCTTATCTTAAACATTGTTATTGTTAGTAATTTTAAGCCTTTTTAATTTTGCGAAGGCAAAAAGTGGAAACCTAATCAATACGTGTATATGTAAAAAAATAATAACAATAATAAAAAATAGCCAGGTGTTGTGGTTAGCACCTGTAATCCCAGCTATTTGGGAGGGTAAGGCAAGAGAATCCCTTAAGGCCAAGAGTTTGAGGTTGCTGTGAGCCTGTGCTGTCACGGCACTCTACCAAGGGCAACATAGTGAGATAATGTCTCAAAAAAAAAAAGAAAGAATTTTTAATGTTTGTTTTTTAGACTATGGTTAATGTTTCACCAAAATACTCAAAACCTTGCCCAGGTTCCTCTACCCCAGAATTTAGGAATTGACCTTAAAATTCATCTTCCAAGGCCCTACTCTGGGTCTGAATTAGAACAGGATCAAAAAATGTAGATTTTAGCCTCAGCTTCCCAGAGTGCTAGGATTATAGACTTGAGCCACTAGGCCCAGCCTAAAGTTAACTTTTTGTTTTT